TATTTCTTTGCAGAAACTTTCTATTACTTTGCTGAGATTCTCTATTTTTTTTTCTTTCAAATGTATTCCTAATAGCTCATTAAAGCATTTTTATAACGGCTACTTTAAAATTCTTGTCAGATCATTAACATCTGTGTCATCTTGGTGTTGGTTTCTCTTGATGATCTTTTCTCATTCATGTTGTGATGAATCATCTTGGTATGATTTTGACAAATGATTTTCAACTGAAGCCTGCACATTTTGGGTACTATGTGAGTCTTGTTCTTACTTATATCTTCTGTTATAGGAGGCCTCCTCTGGCACTGCCACTCTCACGTAGGAGGAGCACTGCCTCATTTCTGCCAGGATGGAATAAAAGTCCAGGTTTTCCACTTGGCCTCCATTGACATCTCAGTGGAAGGTAAGAACTTCTTGTTACTGCTAGGCAGGAATAGGATTTCAGACTTCTCACTATGCCTCTGATGATACCACTGTGGCCGGAGGGGGAGGGGTGTCTCGTTACTGTTCCCCAAATGGTCTCCTCTCCACTGACACTATAGTGTGCTAGACTTATTACCACTGAGTGGTGGTGAAAGTCCTGTATTTCTACCAAGCCTCCTCTGATGCTACTCCAATGCCAAATAGGCATGGGTGTCTAGGTGCTTCATGTGGTCTCCACTGACACCATTGAGAGTGGAAGATGGTGTCTCATTACCACCAGGTGAGGATGAAATTCTGGCTCCCCACTTGGCCTTCTTGACAACACTGCATGAAGTGGGGGGAGAGAGGCTCAGGTGCTTGTTACAGCCTGGCAAAGGTAAAAATCTAGCTTCTCCACTCAGTATTTGCTGGAAGGGGTGGGGGTGGGGCTGCATTTTTTTCTGTGCTATTTTGCTGGAGTACAGAGGTTACTATCTAAAAGTTTTCTGTGTTGTAGGGTTGTTCCTTTCCAGGTCCTTTGGCTAGAGAGAGTAGACTTTTGTTGATACCTTTTTTGACCACACCCAATCTGGGAGATGAGGCAAAAACAAAATCCAGGTGACTTGTGGCCATGTCATTCCTCAGGTCCTAAGGTCCTTAGCCAGTCTGGTCCACCTTCTATATTTCAGAGTCTTCTTGTGTTATTTTTATATATAATGTCCAGAGATTTTAGCTGTACTAAGTAGAAGAATAATATATGCATATAAAATATGTCAACCATTTTATATGCATCTATGTGTATATATGCACTTTTTTTCTTTGCCAAAATGACAAGAAATTCTTGAAATGAGGATTGGAATTAGGAGTTGAATACAGGTAAAGGATAGAAATGTGTTTTATTCTTTATGGTTTGTATTTTTGCCATGTATATATATTGCTTATATTTAAAAAAAATTAATATGTAAAGCAGTAGGTACTTTTCAGTGCTTGTCCAACATAACATGTCTTGAGAAATTGTAACTACTGTCTACTCTTTCCTTCCTAAGACTCTCTCATTTCCGGGGCTCTGTGGCTCCCCTATCTCCTAGATCTGTCATTGATCAATCCTTCTCAATCTGTTTTGTAATCTCTTCCATTGGCCCTTCAAACACTGGCACTCCCTAGTTTTCAATTCTTGGTCTAACATTTATTCTCTCACACAAGTATTCATTAGGCCAGAATATTCATTCACATTGTCTTAAACACCAACTCTATGCTGTTGAAGGCCAACTCTATTTCTCTAATCCTGTTTTCTTCTCTGATCTCAGATGTCTCATAGGCTGAACTTCTGCTCCTTTTTTCTTTCAAATCTGCTCCTCCCTCATTCTTACATAGCTCAGTAAATGGCAACTTCATCCTTCCAATTGCTCAGATAAAAAACAAAAACCAAAACCCTGAAGTTACCCATGACTCCTCTCTTCTACATTCCACCTGTCATTTGTCAGCAAATACTGTTGGCTCTGACTTCAAAATACATTTAGAATCTGACCACTTCTTACCATCTCCACTATTACTACCCTCATCCAAGGTACAACTATTTTTTGATTGCATTATTAAAACAGCTTCCTAATTAGTCTCCTTCCTTCTACCCTTATTTCTACACAGCATCCAGAATCGTCCTGTTAAACATAAATCAAATTGTGTTATTTCTCTTAAAAACCTCCCTTTTGTCTTACTCAGATACAGCAAAGTCAAGTCCTTCCAATGGATTCTAAGGACCTATAGAATCTACTCAGCTTTCTCTATTTTCTTTCTGAATCCATCTTCTTATATTTCTTTTTTCTTTGTTTGTTTAATCCTTTTTAGCTAATCTAGCCTCCTTTTTGTACTTTGAACATGACAGACACACTTCTGCTTCAGGGATATTGTGCTTACCATTTTCTCAGCCTAGAATGCTTTTCCCTCAGATAGCTGAATGAAATCACTCCTTTATTTCCTATAGATCTCTGCTCAAAATTTGTCCTTTTAGTGAGGACTTACTGTATTTTAAAATTACAAAACCACTTTCCAACCCTTCCTATTCCCCTTCTCTGCTTTATTTTTCTTCTTAATGTTCATTACCATCTAACACACTATGTATTTTACTTATTTTGAATATTGTTTTTCTACTTCTTTCAGAATGTAAATTCCATGAGGGCTGTATCTCCAGGACCTAAAATAGTACCTGGCAAACAGTGGGTACTCAATACATATTGGTTGATTGAATATCAATCAATTAATTAATTAATTAATGAAATTTGGGTTTTAGACCAAGAGTCAAGAAATTGCAGCCCATAGGCCTGCTCCCTGTTTTGTTAACAGAGTTTTATTGGAATATTCATTTGTTTACATGTTGTCTATGGCTGCTTTCCCAATACAAAGGTGGAGTTGAATAGTTGTGAAAGATTTCTATGACCTGCACAGCCTAAAATATTTACCATAAATATTTTCTTTGAGTAAAGTTTGCTACTCCTTATTTTACTCCAACTACTTCATAGATACTGCTTTCTGGATATCCTTCAGGAATCTGAAGTCCAACCTGCAGCAAATCAAGTTTTTTTCCATCTTCTCCCAACCTTTTCCATTCTGTATTTCTTATATTTATGAAGGACAGCCCCATCCATCCAGTCAGCCGAGTCAGAAATCCAGAATTCAGACATCTTCCTCTCCCACATTTTCCACTTCCAATCACTCAGTCCTATGCTTTTCCCTCCCTGTTCCTCTTCCCACCACCCTGACTCAGACTACAGTTATTTATTTCTCTGACAATGGCACTACCCTTTCTCTTTGTAATCTATCCTTCACACCACAGACAAGACAATGCCTCCTGAATGTAAGTCTATCCATAATACTACTCTACTTTTAAGCAATGCTTTCCCAAGCCTGTAGGAACAATGCCAAACATTCCAAACTCTTCAACTAGATAGAGTTTAGTCCTTTTAGGACCTGGCCCCTGTCTGCCTCCAATCACATCTCTGACCACTGCTATTTTTATTTCATGTTCCAACAATACCAAATTACTTGAAGTTTTAGGTCTTTGGGCCTTTGTTCATGCTGGGTCATCTCCTTGAAATTTCCTTTCCCTATTTTCCTTTATTTCCACCTACAGTAGTGACATAAATTGTACTTCTTTGTAAGTACCCATCCTTGATAATCCCAAGTGTCCTCTATGCCCAATAATATCACCATTCAAAAATGATCGATGAGGCAGCACTTCATAGTGATTAAGTACTTCAACTCTGAGCCAGGCTACTTGGATTTAAACCCCAGCTCTGTTACTAGCTAAGTGGCCTTGGACATTTACATAGTACATCACATAGTACAGGTTTATTATCATCTTCACATTTTAGCTAAGAAAAAAATGACTATTAGAGAAGTTGTTTGATGTAACACAGATAATATAGCAGAGAATGGCAGTTGTAATCCAATATACACTCATTTTTCTTTTAGAAAAAGAACTAAAGATTTATCTGGGCACAGGAGGGCCCCAAATAAAAACTATACTTCCCTAACTCATCTGCCAGATGTGACCACAGGATTAAATTCTGAAATGGTATATAAATAAAAGTGATATATGTGACTCTCAGGTCCTGGCCTTAAAGGACAGGGTTGTATCCTTCATTTTCCTTTCTTTCATCCTTCTCAACTGATATGATATAGAAGATATTTGGTCATGCAGTGAAGCAGCCCTTAGAGATGGCAGAACAAGAAGAAAGAAGGAAACTGGGTTCTTGCCCCTGTCAAGTCACGATATCAGCACTGGAACACCTCACTGGACTATCCCACAATCAAGTAATAAATGTCTCTTTTGTTGGAGCCACTGTGTTTATATGTGGAGTCTTAGAAGCCTAACCTATATTCCACCAAATATAGCTGGTAAGTGGTAGAGCTTGGGTTTGAACTGTAGATGCCATCTAGATAGTGTCATTAGCCTCCTCCCCCTGCAGAAAAGTTTTTATTGAATTAAACCTTGCTAGGATGGTACTGGCTACTAGAAAGCTTAGAGTCAGATGAAAGGCCATCTGTAGCAAGTGTACAGGACTTGTCAATAATTATTTCTTGTCTAGCCTCATTCCTGGGTTCATTTTCTGTCTCTATCCTTATTTTTCCTTTTTCATTTGACCTAATTATGATGTATAGTATAGTACCTTGTATTTTATATACCATATAAAATATACCACCTTAATTTTTCTTTTAAATAGGATGAGGTTAAATAAGTATAGATATTGCTTTCTTTATGGTTTCATTGTACACGCACCACTTTCATATCTATCATTTTCATTTGTATATATGGCTATCTTCATATTATACTATTAACTCTGTACAGGCATGAACAATGATTTTTTTCTTCTTCTATACCATCTAGCCTGGTGCCTGATAATAAAATAATTATAGAACTGAACAGTATTTGCTAAATGAATGAAGTTCACAGTGTCAGAAATGCTATTTAAATGCCATTGTGTCATAATGGAATTCCCTTCCATTAGCAACTTGAACAAGGGAGGGAGACACAACTCTAAAAGGTGGCTAGGGGAAAGTGTCACATGCTTGGAGAAGTGATGGTGAGAACAGGGAATACATACCTTGACGAAGTGCTCAATTAGGATTTCCACCACAATGTTCTGGAATTTGATGTTCATCATGGCAGCGACAGTGTCCTCCTGAGCTCTCATCAGAGTGGGCCCAAAGATCACGCCCATGTTGGAAGGGGTCATAAGATTCTCTTTGCTGTGCTCACATACACTGCCAAAAGAGAAAAAAAAAATGACTAACAAGATTTTCTCCAAGACCCCCTTGTAACCAAGACTGTGTTAGATGATATAGGGGGCAAGAGAAACTATAAAGTAGGAAAAAAGGAGAGTCCAAAATATATATGAGAAGACTACAAAGGAAACAAGTAGCAAAGAATAAAAGTATATTATTAGGGGCCTAAGTGAGACACAGCTAACTTAGTAGCACTGTAGGAGTTAAGAGAAGGGGGGTAGGCAGCCATAGTTAGAAAGTATTTAGAAAGACAGGAAAGAAGACAACATTCCAGGCAATAAGTACAGCATGTATAAAGCACATATAAAAAAGAACAAAGCACATAGAGAAGTACCTACCAGTCTCACCAGTCTGACACCAGTCAGGAATGTAGCCCCTCCCCCACCCCTAGTTTGAAAGTAAAAAACTCAAAAGAGCTGGAAGGGATCCTTAAAATTAGCCCTTTATCATCACTGTCCTCATTTTACAGATGAAATCACACACACACACACACACACACACACACCCCAAAACAAAGACAAAACAAAAAAACAGAGGTCCAGGGCGCCTGGGTGGCTCAGTTGGTTAAGCGACTGCCTTCGGTTCAGGTCATGATCCTGGAGTTCCAGGATCGAGTCCCGCATTGGGCTCCCTGCTCAGCAGGGAGTCTGCTTCTCCCTCTGACCCTCCCCCCTCTCATGTGCTCTCTCTCTCTCTCATTCTCTCTCTCAAATAAATAAATAAAATCTTTAAAAAAATAAAAAAAAAAACAGAGGTCCAAAGAAGGAAAGGGATTTCCTTGAAATCACAGTCTCATCAGAGTAGAGCCTGTAATCACCAATATTCTGATCCCTAATCACTCTCCTTGCTAAAATTCTCTTTAGGGGCTTTGTAGCACTTATAGGATAAGGCCAGCTCTCTTCAAAGTTGCAACTTATAGCCTGTTTCTAATCCCAATGTAAAGGTTGGACTCTGAAGCTGACGTGGGCTTGAATCCTAACAGTACCACTCAATTGTGCAACAGTGTTAGTGACATAACCTCTCTGGGCTTCAGTTTTCCCATATGCAAAAACAGTACCCACCTCACAGGGCTGTTTACATAGAGCTAAACTGCTTTCACATGGTATCCTGGAAATACTGCATTAGAAATATCTGCTATTATTATTACCTCTCCAGGAGTCTCCATCTAAGTACTGCTGACCTCTGACACTCTTGATACACTATACTGCTTAGATTAGGTTTTCTGGCTATACCATGTTGTTTCATGCCACTCCTGCTTAGAATGTCTCCTTCCTTCTGGATATAAAGAATGTCTATTTATCCTTTGAGATTCACTTTAGGTGACATCTCCTTCAGGGCTATCACAGCCCATTGTCCTCTTCTTGATTGACACCACTGGCAAGCAAATATGTTACAATTTTCTGTTTCTTATCTGCCTCCCTTACTAGGTGGTAAACAACTTTCAAGTGTGTGTGACTCATACAAAGCAGCTACCAATTAATTATTTTGAATGGAACTAAGTGCCTCTACTGCTCTTTCAAATAGTACTGGAGGCAGCAAATAAAATATGGGCAGCTGTTTGGTTAGTTTGGCTGTGGGGGTGGGGAGGTGAGGCAGTGAGACCACCCACCTCAAACACTAATTTTCAAAACCCTCCCAGGTAAAGGCCCCTGAGAGACTGACCCTATCAACAGGCAGGCTCTTTACTAAGTGGGTAACTGACAGAGACAGATTCCTTAGACAAATCCTGATGAAGTCTGTTAAGCTCATTACAAAGGTTGGGTGCCATTCACATGATAATGAACAGCAACCATTCACAGGCATTTATTATTGCTGGGCTGGTGATGGGTCCCTTTTAACAGTTTAAATATTTCGACAATTAACCCTTATTATTTAATGACAATTTTTTTGAGATGTTAAAATGGAAAAGCAACTCCATACCACCACCAAGTGGCTAAACCACTAGTAGCAAGGCAAGGACACTCGTGAGACAACAGCCTCCAACACCTGTGAATGCTTATCTCCTTCTGTGAACTTTGAAAGGAATGGACTTCTGGTGAAGGTGCCAGAGCTCACTTAATACTCCCAACTCCAAAAAAGGCAGAGTGTTTTATCTCTGAAGCCTAGGTTCACAGAAGGTAAAGCACTTAATCAAGGTCACACAGTTTGTGAATACATGACAAGGATTCAAACCCATATTTGTTGGGCCACAAGTCTTAGAGTCATCCTATTGCATCCCACTGCTTGCTTATCTAATTACTGTTAAGAAATCAAAACCCTTGTGGGGCTCTCTTTAAGCTAAAGCCACCTTCTATTTTTCTAAGGGAGGTTCCTGGTATCCCGTTTAGGACATTCTTTTTCTTCTTGGCCTTCTTATGAGATTTGGAAGGTAACCTATTTTAGAGGGTGATTTCTTTGCATTTGACATCTCTCTTTTTATTATACATTATCATTAAGAGGTATAAGTCACACCCCAAATTGTGGGTTAATAAGAGAAATAAAACCAAAAATAAGAGCATTGTGAGTAGTGAATTAGGTAGAAGTTTGTGATATGACTTGACAGCAAACAAATCTTAAATTCTCTAGTCCACATGGACTCGCGACAATGGGTACAACTTCTGGAACATCAAAATTTAAAACAAAAAATGGCTATCAGAGGGAGGTTGTAAAAAGCCTACAGTTTAGGGGCGCCTGGGTGGCTCAGATGATTAAGCGTCTGCCTTCGGCTCAGGTCATGATCCCAGCATCCTGGGATCGAGTCCCGCATCGGGCTCCCTGCTCCTTGGGAGCCTGCTTCTCCCTCTGCCTCTCTCTCTCTCTCTCTGTGTCTCTCATGAATAAATAAAAAAAATTAAAAAAAAAAAAGCCTACAGTTTAGAAAAATAATTTTGATTAGATGGTTTAGATCCGAGGTCATAAACTAAAATGTCTATAAAATAGAACTACCTTATGATCCAGGAATCCCACTTCTGGGTATATATCCTGATGAGAGAAAAACTCTCTCAAGGCCTGATACACAAGGGAAGCCATTTTAGGTTTCTTTTTTAGTTAGCATTACTGTACATAAACGTTGTTTAAATCAAAAGCCTGATTTATGGCTCAACATGCATACATTGTACACCTGCTTTGTGAATGAGTAGCCTAAAGGAAAACCATCATGTCCTTGAGATATCAGTCAATATTCCTACTCCCTATGATGAGAAGAAAGGCAAAAGAAATGTAGATACAATTAAATTTCCTTACAACTTGCAGCCCATTGAGAAATACCTGAGACATGCAGAGTGTGACATTCCTCAAGGCGCTCATGGCTGCCTTAATGTTGACATTTTGCTAGAGACTAAAAGCAACCTTAGCTTGACAATAGCCAGACCTCCAAGATCCTATAAGTTTTCTTTAACATATGGAAATCCCTTTAGTGACTTCCCTTATCTCTGCCCCCCTATTTGAAAGTATATAGTCAATTTCTCCACACAGTCACAGTGCAGCAATTTTGTCCATGGGTCCTGTTCCATGCTTTAATAAAAACACCTTTTTGCACTGAAAACATGTCAAGAATTCTTTCTTGACCTTTTTTGCTCAGAGACCCCACATCACCTGCATTCCTGAATGATGAAACTCGTGATTCCTGCCTATGTGCTAATCTATAATATTTTGAGCCTTTACAAGACGTAAAAAAGTATATAATCCTGTAAAAAATGTTCATTTTTCTGGAGCACTTTCTTCCTTGTAAAGACCATGTTTCCTGGGCAGCTGTCCTAACTTGGGCTCAAATAAAACTCTCTTTCTACTTTTATTAGGGATTCTGAAAGGTTTGTTCATTTTGCATAGACAATCCAAAGGAAATGAAATCACTATCTGAAAAAGTTATGTGTACTCCCATTGCAGCATTATAGGGGAGCAAACTAAGTGTTCAACAATGGGTAACTAGATAAATATATACATACAATGAAATGTTAAACAGCCTTAAAAAAAGAAGGAAATTCTGCCATTTGCTAGGTTCATGGATGAACCTAGAAAACATGTTAAGTGAAATAAACTGTACATAAAAAGACAAATACTAAACAATCTTGCTTATATGTGGAATCCAAAATAGTCAGACGTAGAAGCAGAGAGTAGAATGGTGGTTGCCAGGAGGTGGAGGGAGGGGAAAATGGGAAGATGTTGGTCAAGAAGTACAAAGTTTCAGTTATATAAGATGATTAAGTTCTGGAGATCTAATGTATAGCAGTGAGAATAGAATTAACAATACTGTATCATACATTTGAAATTTGGTAAGAGGGTAAATCTTATGTGTAATCACCACAAAAAGAAGAAAGAAAATGAAATTATGTGAGGTGGTAGATGTATTAATTAGCTTTATCGTGGCAATTATTTCACAATGTATACATACACCAAACATCAAGTTGTATATCTTAAACATATATATAATTTTTATTTGTCAATTATACCTCAGTAAATACAGAAAACATAAAAATAAAAACTGAAGCAGTTCATTAAAGCTGGTTCAGTCACTTATGTGACTTTTGGCTTATTTTTTTCTATCCCATGTATGTATTCTCTCATCTGTAAAATGAAAGTTTATTAGGTGATCTAAAGGCACTTTCAGCTCTGTCATCTAATGAATCTAAAAAGTCCTTCTCTTGAAAGGAAATTAAAGAAGAAATTAAATAATACATGGAAGCAAATGACAGTGAAAACACGACAGTCCAAAACCTTTGGGATGCAGCAAACGGGGTCCTAAGAGAGAAGTATATAGCAATACAGGTCTACCTCATGAAGCAATAAAAATATCAAATACACAACCTAACCTTACACCTAAACAATCTAGAAAAAGAATAGCAAATGTAGCCTAAAGCCAGTAGAAGGGAAATAATAAAGACTAGAGCCTAAATAAATGATACAGAAACAAGAAGAACAGTATAACAGATTAAATAAGGAGCTGGTTCTTTGGGGAAATTAATAAAATTGACAAACCCCTAGGGTGGGTGAGTTAAGATGCT